AATATGGAAAACAGTATGGAGATTTCTTGGAAAATTGGGAATGGAACCACCATTTGACCCAGCTATCCCTCTCCTCAGTCTATGCCCAAAGGGCTTAAAAGCATCATACTACAGGGACACAGCCACATCAATGTTTATAGCAGCACAATTCACAAAAGCTAAACTGTGGAAACTAGATGCCCTTCAGTGGATGGATAAAAAATGTGGCATAGATACACAATGAAATAGTACTCAGCAATAAAAGAGAATAAAATCAAGGCATTTTCAGGTAAATGGATGGCATTGGAGAAGATAATGTTGAGTGAAGTTAGCCAATCTCCAAAAAACCAAATGCCAAATGTTTTCTCTGATATAAGGAGGATGATTCATAGTGGGAGAGGGAGGGGGGAGCATGGGAGGAATAGATGAACTCTAGATAGGGCAGAGGGGTGGGAGGGAAAGGGAGGGAATATGGGGTTAGAAATGATGGTGGAATATGATGATCTTATCATCCAAAGTACATGTATAAAGACACAAATTGATGTGAATATACTTTGTATACAACCAGTGATATGAAAAACTGTGCTCTATATGTGTAATAAGAATTGTAATGAATTCCACTGTCTCATATAAATAAAAAAAATTAATAAAGAGAATAAATGCTGTGAGCAAAGGTGTTGGAGATCAGCCTCTTTTCTGAGGCAGGGTAGTGCAAGGGAAAGATTTTCCCTTCAAGAAAAATGGTTCTTAACTTACTAGAACAGATAAAAGAAAAAGAAAATTCATTCTTGAATTGAAACCCAGTTCTGCTGCTTACAAAGCTGTGGGATCCCAGCCAAGCAGCACAAGCTCTGTGAACCCTCACTGACAGAAGTGGAGATAATAGTACGGACTTTGCAGGGTTGTAGTAGAGATTAGATGAGGTCAGGTCTAGGGAAATTCCCAGCACAGTGCATGGCGCATTGTAGTTTCCTGTCACCATTAGTCTTCCGCTGCCAGGGTCAGAAACAGATTTGGGCTAATATAAACAGAAAGATAATGTCTTGGCAGGACAGGGTGTGGACCATAGACTCAAGAGAAAAGGAGAAGAATTAGGAATCAGCATCTTTGGGGTGCTCCAAGCAGCAGTAACAAGTGCAGAGTCTTTTTGGTAAAAACCCATTGAAAGATTTTCTACCCTACTCTAGTTTTTCTCAGGATTTGAATTTTAGGAAGGGAGTCTCTTCCCAGGAAAATATTGGGGTTCTGTTTTAGTAGAAGGGAGAATGTCAGGCAGACACAACAGACATTCATGGCTGTGCAGGTGGTTGCTGTTATTATCAGAGGTACCTACTGATATTTCTTTCTTTCTTTTTTAGAGAGAGAGAGAAAGAGAGAGAGAATTTTTAAAAATATTTATTTATTTTTTTAGTTTTCGGTGGACACAAATCTTTATTTTATTTGTATGTGGTGCTGAGGATTGAACCCAGCACCTCGTGCATGCCAGGCGAGCATGCTACCGCTTGAGCCACACCCCCAGCCCCCCTACTGGTGTTTCTAGGCACTGTTCTGTAGCCCATGCTCCAGGCCAATGGTCTGCCTGGACTGGTGTCGTGACTGTGTTTTGAAAAGTTGTCTCAAATATGTATTACTGCAGAGCATCTTGCAACCATCCAGGCCTGCTATTTTTCATATGGTAAAACAAGTTAAGTGATCTGTCTGAGGTTTCACAGTGACATGGTGACCATTCTGGAACCCAGACTTTCTGGTCCCACGTCACTGCTTGCTTCATTTGCTCCTCCTGCCTCTCTCAACCCATTAAGCACGTGGGAATGGTGGACCCTCCAGGGGTTTTGTTTTGTACTGGGGATTGAACTCAGGGGCACTTGACCACTAAGCCATATCCCCAGCCTTTTTATGTATTTTTTTTTTTGAGACAGGGTCTCACTGAGTTGCTTATCACCTTGCTCAGTTGCTGCTGGCTTTGAAATTGAGATCCTCCCATCTCAGCCTCCCGAGCTTCTGGGATTACAGGTGTGCGCCATCATGCTTGGCCCCTCCAGAATTTTTGGAATGGCCAGGGAGAGACCCTCTATCCACACTCTGGAGTTCAAATCGATGATTACCGTCAGTTATGTTTTCCATGAAAAACTTGCTGCTCAGAGACAGACCTCGGTAAGTCCCAGCTCCACACTCACCCTCCCTGGAAAGTGAGGAAACAGAAGGCTTTGCCAGGACACCCTCTTGACCCCGGAAGGGGAGCAGCTGCTGATTGGGAGGCACTTCATTTTCTTTCTTTTTTTTTTTTTTCTTATCCTGACCCAGTGCCAGAAGAGCAGCTCACAAAGAAGGAGGAGATGGAAGAAGGTTCCCTGAGTTGGAGTGTCTACCTCCAGTACATCCGAGCAGCTGGAGGTATGGTCTATCAGCATCCACTCCAGGCCTGGGGCTCTTGTCCCGATCAGCACCTCCCCTGAAGCCAGGTCAGTCTGGAACCTGTGAGGTCCTAGGAGGTGGAGAGGCACAGAAGGGTCATGCTATTCGTGGAATCTGACTTGCACACATCCGACCATTCTCCGTTGTAGTAACTCTGGCAATGGGTCAACGTTGCCGATGATGTTTTCGCATCTGCTAATTATTTCAGTCTACTTGTTACTTCAGTGTTTTCTAAACTTTGGGTCCCGACTCACTAGCGGGTTGTGAAATCAACTGAATGGACCGTGAGCAGAGCTGAAAGAAAAAAAAAAAACAGGACAGAAAAGACCAGCAAGCACTGCACATCGGGACACTGGCAGAACTTTTATTTTGCTGTATATTAGGTGTGATTTAAAATGGATTCCTTAAGGCAGGAAGGTGGCCATTAGAATTCTCAAATTTACTGTTTTATTAAATGACGTATATTATCATGCATGTTGACTGTACGATGTTGGGAACACAAAACCTAGTATATGGTACCCTCCTTTTTGAGTAATTTAAGAGTTTTTTTTTAAAAAGTTCTTTTGACTCCTTGCAACTTTTTGCTGTTTGGTGACTTTAGAGCTTAGCTTTGGGTAAAATGCATCTCTTCTCCACCTGGGGGTGGGGATTAGGGGGTGGGAAGAGGTGGGCTGTGCACAGGTCACCCATTCCTACCCCTTCCACCATGGATTGCATCCTTGCAAGGTGTAACATGTGGCTTGCCCAGAGCAGGGGAACAGCAAATCCTGGTGAAACGGTTGAGTAAATTGAGAAGTTGATTGGTCTGAATTTACAAAGTACCTACTATGTGCTAGGCCAAGCTCTGAGGGAGGGGATTGAAAGTCATCTATGAATCAACCCTGAAATCTCTCTAGAGATAAAGAACTTGCATCCTCCAGATAGTGGGAGGGATCTTTGTGGCCAAGAATAGCCTCAGGTCTCATCAAAGAATAGGCAGACTTGGAAGAAATGTAGAATTTGGGAAAGACACATGGGCACGGGACATAGTCTGGGTAGATGGGTGGAGTGCTAGGGCAAATACCAAAGGAGGGAATGCAAACCCCAGGTCTCCTGTCCTTGACTTTTTGAATCCAAGATCTTCCACTTACCAGCTCTGTGACTCTGGGAAATGTTTTTCCTCTCTCTGAGATTCAGGTTCCTCATTGTTGTAGTCGGTCTGTGCTATTGTTACAAGAGGCCTGAGACTGGGTGATTTATAAAAAATGGAAATTTATTTCTCACAGTTCTAGAGGTGGGAAGTCCAAGATCAAAGCACTGCCCAGTTCAGTGTCTGATGAGGGCCTGTTGTTTACTTCCAAGATGGTAGCTTGAATTTTGTTGTGCCCTCTGTCCTCCAGAGGAGGCATTTGGAAAATGGATGAGGCAGGGCTCAAAATCTCTTTTGTAAAGGCACTTACAAGAGTGGGACCCTCATGACCTAACACCTCCCAAAGGCCTGCCTTCTAATACCCTCACCATGCTGGTTTGGTTTCAACATAGGAATCTGGGAGGAATGCATACATTCAAACCATAGCACCCATGTAAATGAGAATAGGAATCAAAACCTCAGAAATGGCACACAGAACATAATAGTTCATAGTACACTTTAATGTATAAAAGGTGACTGTTAAGGTTCTTTCTAAAAGTGAACCCTAAGAATCTGCATAAGGTGGAGCTAACTTCTTTAGAATACTGCTGCTGTGCCAGGCACTGGGCTGGGTGCCTGACACACATCATCTCATTTCATCTTTGGTTTGTCCCTGAGTCTGTTTGAAGGTCACCATTTGAAAGGCAAGGAAATAGACTGATCTTAAATCTCACTGATTAAATATCATTAAATATCACTGATATTCAATGCCTTCTCCAGGGTCACCCAACTTGCAAGTAAGAATTTAATCCAGGAGTTGCACCGAGGGCTCTCCAACTTTAGAGCCCAGTTCTTCCCAGTCCTCCAGGGTGTCCAAGATGGATAGTGGGTCCAGGAGATCAAATGGTTCAGGGCTTAGCAGCTCTGATACTAGTTGCTTGGCATCTTCTCATGGCACCACCTGTGCACCCCCTCCGTCTTCCCACCAGGTTGCCTGTCTGTCACAGTTTTCCTTCTTATGGTGGTGATAGTCTCCCTCACAATCTTCAACCTCTGGTGGCTGAGCTATTGGTTGGCACAGGGCTCGGGGGTGAGTATCATGACGTGGGTTTGTGTGAGTAGGTGGCTTCTTGCTCCCTTAGATCCCCTTGAGGGCTAGAGCACAGCTAGGGACCCGTGGGGCAAGCCCAGCGCTGAGTTGACAAGTGTGTTCCAGGAAGAATAGTCTGGGAGCTGGGATCCTGCACTGGCCTTCTGGCTTTGTAGAATGGGTCATCACCATGCAGTCTTTTGGGGACAAACCCAAGAGATTTCTGTTCCCAAACAGTCCCCAGGAATCCGTGCATGTCTCCTTTGTGGGTTTCTCCTTTGGTTTGAATTTTGCCTCCTTACTGTGCTTTATTAAAGTACTCCCCTGCACTCTGGGGCACTGGGGGATGGGAGCCACCATGAGGCAGAATTAAAGTGGGTGATTTTTAGAAAGACACCTGAAAGCCAATGGCAAAAGTCCACATCCCATGCACCTGCCCAGTTGCCACCACAGTATGATGTCCTCTCCTTTTCCACCTTTTAGATTTCCTATTAGTGCTTCTCCTTGGTAGAGTCTAACTTGAAACCATGCTGGCAAGGGGCCTGGGAAGTCATGGGTCCATCTTGTCTTTGCATTGCAGTGGAGAATGTAGAAGGGGTGGCTGTTGTGGTCCAGAGGATGGGCATTGAGGACCTAATCCAGGGCAGGGCAGGAGGAAGGAAAAGAAGGAGAACAGCTAAAGCATGGAGCAGGGAGGTTTGAACACGTGGTTTTACCTACCAGCCATATAGTTTTATGTAGCCCCTTGGAGAAGGACATTCTCTTCTTGAATTTCACCCTGGACCCCTGTTCTTTCTTGAAGACCAATTGCAGCCAAGAGAGCAACAGGACCACTGCAGACCCAGGAGACATACTGGACAATCCTCAGCTGCCCTTTTACCAACTGGTGTACGGCCTCAGCACCCTGTGCCTAATCTGTACAGGGGTCTGCTCCTCAGGGGTTTTCACCAAGGTCACCAGAAAAGCATCTACAGTCTTGCACGACAAGCTCCTTGACAAGGTATAGATTTGGGTGCTAGGTATGGCAAGGCTGAACCCTGACCTTACCTAACTTGGTTTTTGATTTATAGAGAAATGGAGCAGAAAGCAAAGAGCATTTCCATATCCCCCCCCACACTCCATTCCCCTAGTTTCTCTTAGTCTTAATGTCTTGCATTACTGTGGAACATTTGTTAAAATGAATGAGTCAATTGATACCTTGCTAATATTATCTAAAGTCAACAGTTTGCATTTGGGTTCACTCTTTGTATTGCACATTTTATGGGTTTTAACAAATGTATCATGACATGTATCCACCATTTTAAAATCATAGAAAAGAATTTCCCTGCCCTAAAAATACCCCAAATCCCTGATTGCTTTTTCTGTCTCCATAGTCCTGCCTTTTCCAGAATGTCATAGTTACAAGGGAGCGTAACTGGTTCACTAGGTGGGTAGGGATTGAGGAAGGTGCCTCAGAGCTCTCCTGCTGCTGGAAGAATGAGTTAAGAGTTCAGTGTCCCTTGGTGGAGGGTTAAGGGACACACCAATGCTCGCCTCTGTTGGCTGAGCCCTGTTACATATAGAGTTGCTGGTAATTTCCCCAAGTGCCTGTTGTAGTGGGTATGGTCATCCTCATTTTACCTGTGAGATAACTGGAATTCCATGTGCATTATGGTAAGAATGTGCATTAAGTGTTATGCATGTTAGATACACATAAGGCATCACATGTTGGAATACCAACACAACACCTCCTAGAAATATCACTTCTTCCCCTCACCAGATATCATTACTGATAGATACTATTAGAGGCTTGCAGTGGTGAATGAACAATGTGGTCAGGGTTTGGGCTATAATGGGTTTATGGTCCAATAGGGAAGAAAGGGAAGAAAATGGGCCACTGTAATATGATGTGCAAGTGTACCATGGGATGGAGCACACAGGGCTCTAAGAATGTCGGAAGCACCTAACCTTGGCTTGGGTGTGGGGGAAGGAGTGGAGGTGGTCCAAGAAAGCTTCTTGGAGGATGCAGTCACTCCTTGAAGGATGAGTTGGGATTTAGCCAGTTCAAGATTAGGAGGCTGGAGGTGGACAAAAGCAGAACATTTCTGGGGAAGTGAATGGAGTGCAGAAGGCTGGAGCTCAGAGGTGTGAGCTAGGCGCTTTGATAGGGGCGCGTGGAAGGGAAGGAAGAGACCCATCATTCCTGGTAGATTGAATGCAAGTTGTGCTGCTGTTAAGTGTTTCAGTCTTGGGAGGATGAGGCAAGAGCTTTTCCTCCTTCTCAGATAAGGTGACTACCTGGCAGGTAATCGCAGTGCTATCTGAGGCCTACCATTTACCATCCAGGCAGCGGTACAGCACTTGGCCCCATGGTCTCAACAGGAGCCTCTGGCTGCCCTGCTCCAAGATTCTAGAAATATCCAGAGGCTAGTCCTGCAAGTGATATTTTATACCTTAATTTTAAGAAATATCCAAGTTTCTTTCCATTAGAAAGTGTTTAATATTTTGAACATTTCTCTTTTTCTAGTTCTTTCATGGCTTTATTGATTTTAAATTTGACTTTATAGTCTTAAATCATGAGCGAAGGATAAAAATCTCTGAAAAACTCAGCTCAGTGGTAAGAAGAACAACTAAACTAAACCCAATCAACCAACAAAAACATTCCTGCTTAGTTTTATTTTAGGAGGCAACCAAAAATCCTCTTCCCTGGGTCTCCAGCATATGCCCCTAATCCTCATGATCCTGGGCTCAGAAAGACGGTTCGCACTCTCCCAGCAGCACTGAGGTCTGTCCCAGTGCCCCCTGATCCATAGCACTCAGACTTCCCCTTGGGTGCTGGGAGTCCTTGAGGGAATGACCCTTTTGCCCTCTGATTGCTTGAAGTGATTGTAACAATTCCGATTGCTTTAGCTCAAGTGTTTAACAGAAGATTCTGGAAATAAAACTAAAGGCATTTTGGAGACAGAAAAAGTAAAGATGGTAATCTGCTCCCCTGACCTTCTTAGAAAGCAAACATGAGCAAGAACTATCCAGGCATCTGCCGTGACAGCTGCTGCAGGGGCCCTTGGTGGCTCTGTTAGTTACTATCTCTGAATAGTCACAATGTTCCTTCTTCTCCTACCTTTAATTTTGGCCTTAATAGATCCTGTTAGTTTTTATCAATTTCTATTTCTTGCATCGTGGCTTTTGAGAAATCCATAGGGCAGCGAAAGTGGTCTGTCCGTCAGCACCACGGGCCTTTAAGAAAAGTGCCTACTGTGAAGAGCTGGCTGTGCTGAGGGTGGGGGAAGACTTAAAGAGGCCTGTCCAGGTCATGGCTTTGACATTGATATTTGGGTGACCTTCAGCAAGTCACAAAGCCACTGCCCCTCCTCTGAGCTTCATTGTTGTTTTTTCCATCTGTTAAACCAGGACACTGAACTAGATGCTTATTAGAGTCCTTTCAGTTGGAAATGTTCTTTGATTTCCAAAGGACCTCATGCCCACTGGCTTTCAGAGATCAAGTTGGGTTCCACCTTCAAGATGGAGCAATCATGGTGAAATACAACCTGAGAGTCCTAGTCTTGTGAAATTTAAGTGGAATTGCTGCTATTGGCCTTTAGCCATCCTGAGTGACAGTCATCCATCCCTTCTATAGAAAATGTTAGGAGCTTCATATAGTAAATTTTTTTTTCTACATGCACTTCAATTTCACAGCAAGACTGGCATAGAATACCTAAACACAGAAGAGACCATTCTTGCAAGAAATCTAATGCATACACTTCAAATTGATCACACTGTCATTACATCTAGGGCCTTCTGCAATTACAAGGTGATGGTTTTGGAAAGTATAGCCCCCAGTATCAACATCTAGAAAGCAGTCACCGCTTCTATGTGTGCTCTCTCTCTCTCTCTTTGCGTATTTTTCTTCATTTTCCTTAATCAACTCTGCTGTTGTTGCTGCTTCTTGGCAAAACTGGTAAAGACCAAATTGTAATCATTGAACTCTGGCAATCAAGACGTTTAAAACCTTCAGTCTCCTGGGGTGAAGAAAGCACTGTGCGACAGTTAGAACTCTGATTAACAAACAAGGTGGTCACAGATTTTCCTGGCTTGATGACTTCCACAACTTTGCTGCTCAGGTGATCCTAAAAGATCTGACTTAAGTTTGTTTCCAAGCTAACATAAAAAAAATTCTGATTCTGGAGTGAATAGTCCAGTAAGTTCCATCTGATTTCATTCCATTCATTGAACATCATCCACAAGGATTGAACAGGGTGGCATCAGTGACAGATTCCACTCGCACGAGTGACATCCTTTGCAGTAACCCTATCTCTCACGTAGAACTGGTCCATAACTGCTGGATCAAGCTCACTCATCAAAATTTCCAGGGTTTAATCGGGTTGACTTATTACCCAACTCTCTGGGAAATCCAGAAGCTACAAGTACCAACAGTCAGACTGTACAACATTTGTGAAAACAATTCAATTTGGTTTATGCACAGTGTACTATTTCTGCAGGAATTATCCAAAATTCCTCATTGACAAGGCTTTCGTCCTCATTAGGTGTTAGCCTCAGCCTAACCATCTGGGACTGTTCTATTAAATTGCTGCTAGAATTTTACATCCAGTTACCTTTACTTTCTAGAACATAGTTTCTACTAATGTTATCAAAACCAGTTTCTACTTCACATAGATTTTTTTTTTGCAACAGCAATTAAATTTTTTTCACAAGTCCTTAAGAAAATGATTCCCATTACTCATTTTGTGTATTATTGTTTTAATAATTGTTTCTGCATTTGTAGTCCTTTGGTTTCTTCCCTCAACCTGGTGTCTTCCTCTCCAACCCCACAAATGAAGCAATAAACTTACACTGTGGGTTTATTTACTAATATTATACCCCAGATGGGCAAAGAGGGAAAGTCTTTGGGCTTAATTTCCTTTTAAGGGCATATTAATTTGGCCCCCTTTTTATTGGCATGGGTGATTTTGGAAGATAAATGACAAAATTAAATGTCTCCCACAAAAGAATTTTAAGTATCCAGTGTTGATTAGCAGGGATTGAGATTAGGGTATACTGACTGAACTCTACACTGCCTTCTCTGCTGTGCTCTGTAATAAATGAGATTAACTTCTAATGGAGTACTGTGCTTTTACTAACTTGCCAAGTAGTGGTATTAAAGGATTTTTATCGATAAGTAGTTAAGTAGGGAGATTTATCCTATAGCTTGTACTGGATTCATTCTTTCCTGTCAGTTTGGATCATCCACCTTAACTTTTACTTTCAGTAGCCATTGCCACTAATTTCCTTTAATAGTAATATTGTAAACTTTGGTTTAAAGCAGAATTGGTGGTTTTCCATCTTAAGACTTACAAGTTCTGTGATTAAGTGACACGTGTGTGTGTTCTGACTTCATCTGTTTCTCTCTCATCTCCTTCTGTGACATGCAGAGGATCAAATGTATGACTGCCAAGAATGAAAACTGACCGGGTTATTCACATATTACCATGTAGCAGAATATATGGGTGGATTTTAAAAAATTAAAATCCTAAAAATATCCAGTGGGAAATGACTAGTAATATAGGCTTTCAAGAGTTGGGATCTTTTAGTTATAGTTTTAGCAAAAACTGCAGTATTGAAGCAACTGAGAGCAGAGCAAAATTGACTAAATTTTGTATTTCTTTTGAACTCACAATATTTTCTTGATAATTTCTGGATTGATGCAGTGATGCTTTGTTCCTTCTGGAATTATAAAGGAAACACATTTTTCAGTGTTTTTAAACATGCACTCTACTTGGTTTGAGATCAAATGGTTAGACACTGTTTTGACATATAGCTCATGCATGCTGTTGATTGTTTCATTGAGGAAGCTTTCAGTCAACTTGATCTGTTTGAGTCTGTAATGAGCACAGCACCTAATGTTGTGACTTGCTCTGTTGTGAGGACTTTAACTCAAAGTGGATTTTGTTTTGGAGTGGTATCCCAGTAGATTAGTAATGTTTGTTGGCTTGAGGTCTGATTTTTATTTTATTAAAAAAATTTTTTGTGTTCCTTTCTCCTAATAGACTTAAGACTTCTAATGCTGAAAACTTGCACAAATTTGTGTGGAACAAAGCCTAGAGAAATAAAAACTGTAGATGGAATAGAATCTATCCAGGTGTGATAGAAGAAAACTTTGGTGCCATGATTTCTTTCTTCATTGGTGTCAGAGTTAAATCAGTTGAAATGTATTTCTGTATCACAATTAAAGCTTCAATAAAAGTTTGCTCACTTAAAAAAAAATGTTAGGAGCTGATATTGATGAAATGCTTACTAGGGGACAGACACTGTTCTGAGCCCTTTCCGTGCATACTGACTTATAATTCACAGACCATATTTACCCTCTTAGATGGTACAACTCATAGGTGTTTAGGATATTTGCAGAAATATGCAAGCCTTATTACAACTCTATGAAGTATCGTTATACTGGGACTATAGCAAATGTAGACCTTGAGACTCAAAATAACTTGCCCAAGGTCAGACAGCAGAAGGTGGAGGAGCTGGGTAGCCCTGGAATCCAGGCAGGTGGACTCCAGAGCCCATCCATGCTCTATGCTTCCTCCCTGGATGGCTGTTAAGCTTCATCCTGCACCCCTTCAGAGCCTAAAGGAAATGGGCATCTTTGTCCACTTCTAAGCAAGGCCTGCTGCTATGTTCATGGACCCTGTGGATTTTGTCCCAGCAGGTTTCCTGCTGCCCCATGAGTTTCTTTGACACAACCCCAATAGGCAGACTCCTGAACTGCTTTGCGGGGGACTTGGATGAGCTGGACCAGTTGTTGCCCACTGTCACTGAGGAGTTCCTGCTCCTGTTTTTGCTGGTGATAGCCATTCTGATAATTTTCGGTGTGCTATCTCCATACATCTTCTTGATGGCAGCCATAGGAGGCGTGGTTTGCCTTGTCTACCATATGTGAGTATGTTCTTTCCCTGTATAAGTGGGGTTTGAGGCTTGGGGTACAAGACGGGGGCCAACCCAGATTGGATGGTTCCAGGGGTGGATGGCCCCAGTCACTCACCCTCATTCTCCATGCAGGATATTCAAGAGGGCCATCAACGTGTTCAAGAGATTGGAGAACTGCAGCCGGTCTCCTTTATTCTCCCACATCCTCACCTCTCTGCATGGCCTGAGCTCCATCCGAGTCTATGGAAAAACGGAAGACTTCCTCAGCCTGTGAGTCCTTCTGCTGCCCTCGGACAGTGATGGGGAAGGAGGGGGTGGGAAGGAAACAGAGATTCTGGGGACGGTGTCATCTTTAGAAGAATCAGAACATTGTTTCATTCCGTATTTCTCTGAGCCTCCAGAACCTCATCTGTAAGATGGTGTTTATAAGAATAAAAGTGAAGATGATATGGAAAATGTTTGCAAATTTTAAAGACCTAGAGTTAGTTTATGTATACCCTTGGCCCTCCAAATCCACCAGTTTGGAATCCATGGATTCAACAACTTGCAGCTCAGAGATGTTGGGGCGGGGGTTAGAATTGTGCCTGAACTGAATATGTATAAACTTTTTTTCCTTGTCATAAATAATACAATACAGCAACTATCTACATAGCATTGACATTGATTAGGCATTGTAAGTATTGTAGAGATGATTTAAAGTACACGGGAGGATTGTGTAGGTCACATGGTGACTGTTTTATAAAGGAACCTGAGCATCCTGGGGTTTTGGTAGCCTCGGGGGTGTAGGAAGCAATCTGCATGCTGAAGGATAACTGTGTGCGTGTTTTTATGTTTAATAATCAGGTATAGGATTATGCAATTAGGTTATTTTATTATTATGCATTCGGTTTTTTTCTTTTGATTCTGAACAAATATCTCATCTAAATAAATTAAAGAGAAACAATAGCTTTCTGAATAGCACAACCCCATTCCCTGCTCCCCATTCACTATAGATTTGCCTTCTGAATGTTTGTTGAAATAAACAAGGAAATTCTGAGATTGCAGTTGAGGCTTAATGGCGTAATATGAGATAATCTACTTGTAGAGAATAACTGAAGTTGGCCTTCAGCTCTAAGCAGCTCAGGGGTGGTGAAAGAGAAAACAGGGACACATCTTTTTATAATAACACAGGATTGGATAGGAAGGAAGATAAAAGAAGGGAACTGATAAGATAGCATGGAAATTCAGTGGGAGAAGAAGTGGTGGGGGAAGCTTTGGGGAGAAGATCATATCTCAGCTGGCCTTGAATGCTGGGTGAGATTTCGCCAGGGGAGACCATGTGATCCTGGGTGAACCATGGTGCCTCATCTCCTACTGGCATTACACTGAGGAGATCAAGGCATGACTTATTCTTTCAGTCCACACTGAGAACCCCCTGTGCCCAGCACCCACAGAGTACACAGCAGGGAAGAAGACACACACCATCCCTGCCCTGAGGCATAAAGAAGGGTGGGGGGGGGGACACAATTAGACTAAGGTGAACTGGAGCGGCCCTTAAGGAAGATCTCAGAGAAAAGGAATAGGGCAGAGATCTAAATGAAGTGAGGGTCAAGCTTAAGAAACGATGTGGGTCAGAACTCTCCAGGTAGAGGGGAAAAGAGATTCGAAAGACAGCAAGGTGACCTGATCAGAGAAGTCACCAGGTCTAAATTGTAATTAATCTGGGAAAGCCTCAAAGTAGGGATAATTGAATCACCTTGGGAGGGTCGGATGCACAGAAGCTGGACTGGTTTGTGCAAAAGTTCAGAAGATATGGCCAGAATGATTCACAAGACCACTGTGCTTTGGGTGACCACTGCAGTGGTAAGAAGATGGTTTTAGTTGGTACGTAGATGAATGTACTTTATTTCAATAATCAAAAGTTTATTTGAATATACCTTAGAAAAATTCAACTAACACATCAAACCCATTTAAGGTAGTGATAAAAATTTCTCTTAATTATAGAATATAGTAAGTCAATTAAAAGAAAAAATGCTAATGATTTGGGGAGAAGATCTAGTACAGGTTGTGTATTGATTTGGTAAATTGTGGTGGTGGTATATAAAAATTGCAAATTCATAGGTTTGTTTTGGTTGGAAGTGATAGAAAAAAAATGAATTCAAATTGGCTTAAAAAGGAAAGATGTTTAAGGCTGGGGTTGTGGCTCAGTGGTAAAGTGCTTGCCTGGCATGTGGGAGGCACTGGGTTCAATTCTCAGTGCCACATGTAGATAAATAAAATACAATTTTAAAAAATTTAAAAAAGAAAAGACTTAAAACAATAAAAATGTTAACCATTGCTATATTAGAGGGTATGTGAATGTTCATTAAGTCAGCATTTTACTTTTTTTTTTTTTTGTACTTATAAAAGTGTTTATAACAACAGGCTGGGTCAGATCAATGAAGAAACTTCAAGTGAGTCCTGACCCAGAGGCTCAGGTGATGTCCCCAGAGACCCTCACTGGCTCTCTATTGCTCGGCCCTCCTTGACATGATTTCATTTTCAAAGTCTTGGAGACTTTCTGGAAGCTCCAGGCTACCCTCCTGGTAGCAAAATGGTAGATTCTGTTTGGACCAGGATTCCCGTGATCTTACTACAAGTGCTCATTCCCTTCCCTCACTCACAGATCCTGGCAATTGCTCATGTCATTGACCCAGGTGTGTAACTCACTCATCCCCCCTAAAGAATCAGTCATGGAGTTTAGGGGAAGAGTGGATGCAGGTGCCCACGGAGCCTACTCCTCAATTGGATTAGCTCTATCCAAATCCATGGTTGACAAAAGGGTAAGGAAGAGGAGGAGATCTCCCAACCCCAAAAGAAGATTCACGTTTAACTGGTGGGAGTGGGGTGCTGCAGAAAGCGAGCAGTATCCTCGTGGGGAGCCCTGGGCTGGACAAACACATGGTGCTCAGGTTGTGCTCTCCTTTCTCAGGTTTCAGAGGCTGACTGATACACAGACTAACTTCCTGATGATGTTCCTGTCCTCCTTGCGATGGGTGGCATTGAGGATGGAGATCTTGGGCAACCTGGTGACCTTGGCCTTCGCCTTGTTTGTGGCTTTTGGCTTTTCCTCCTCTCTCTATGTCTACAAGGTCATGGCTATCAACCTTGTGCTGCAGGTGAGAAGGGATTCTTAGACAGGGCGGCTCTCCTGGGCTGTGCCTATCCTCCGCCTGCAGCCCCTGGGCAAACCCAAGGGTCACAGGACTTTAGGATTTGGCCATTTGAGATCTTCTGAGGTCTCTGCCCCGCCTTCTCTGTTTTCTTGTGGTCACCTCTGTTCTGGGGAGGCTACATTTAAAGTCTGTATTTAATGGACTCATAGAACTTGAGAATGAGAGGGAGCCCGTTGCCATAGAATCTCCCACACTTATTGTATAGACGGGGAAACCGAGGCCCAGGCAGAAGAAAGGCTTGTCCAAACAGAGCATTCGCAGAGCCAGGACAAGCCCTGACCTCCTGGCTTCCTAGCTGATGTTTTTGTACTTGATTGCTCATATCCTGATTGGGTTGTCAAACTTTCCGGAATCACCCGACAAGGGGGTTAAAATGGCAGCTTTCCCAGCCCCTTCGGGTGGGGGCAGGGCTTCTAGTCTTGAACGTGTGCAAGGCTGAAACAGAGGGTAGGGCCTCCGCCAGGAGGTCTGGGTCTAGGTGGAGCCAACCGAGGCCCCATGCTTAGGAGCACAGCCATAGAGAGATTCTGAGTCCCTTCCTGGGTCAGGCTTCAGGAGTCCAGCTTTGAAAATGGATTCTCTAGGAGGTGCAGAGTGAGTGACCTCTGTGCCTCTTGGCCTGAGTTTGTCCACACGCAGAGCACTGGGTGGGAGGAGGCGTGGAGAGGGAGTAGCCGGTCGAAGGTCATCGTCCACAGAAGGGCTGTCCATGGGAGACTGTGAGGCCCGAGGCCGGCTCAGGGGAGCCTGGCTGTACAGCGCCAGGGGCCCCTTCCCAAGGCGTGACTCTGACTGCCCCTCTGTGCCATGTGGCCTTCTTTTCTAGTTGGCTTGGATGTCGGGTGTCTCCCTGAGCTCTCTCTATCCTCAGTGCTGACGAGTTATTTTGGATAGGCAGAGGGCCTCGCTCTTCACTGTTCCAAGCACATATTTGCACCAGGGCGTGTCCTGTGTGGACAGACACACACCTGTGTGTCCAGAACCAGCCATGCAGATGGCCGTGCAGCACTCACACTCAGACACCTGCGAGTGCAGTAGGAGCTGGGGTTCTCGGGGGCTTATGCTGGGCGGGTGCTTCACCAGGCACCTGTACACACTGCTTCCCTGAAAACCCTCCTGAGTGCTGCAGGACATGGGCCAGGGAGGCACAACTCAGGGGTCAACAACGAATAAGGTGGTGCCCTTTTGGGTACCAAAAATAACTTCTCAGCCTTGGGGACAGATAGAGCTCAGTGAGACCCACGAGATCCCAAGCCAACTAGAGCACAGGCCACACAACTGCACAGGGGCAGTTAATGAATAACCCCCTTACCCAGGGAAGGGGTGCTCTGGAACTGTGCCAGCAGGCACAGCCTCTTCTGTTTAATTCTCACCATGATGCACAAGACACACCAGAGGGCTTGACAATGTGTGGCCTGGGATGCCCAGGTTCAAACCAGGCCTGGCCCATTACTAACTGTGTGACTTTGGGTGAGTTTGTTAACCTCTCTGTGCTTGGGATTCCTCATTTGTAAAAAGAATGATAATACAAGTTCTGAAATCATAGATATGTGAGAAATAAATATTAGGACCAAGGCACGTTAAACATGTCGAATAGTGGCTGGTGCAGGTTAACTGCTCAGTGAATGCTAACTGTTCTCAGTTCTGTCTTATACACCTAGAGAGTTCGAGTAACTCATTCATGTTTCCAGAGGTTTGTCCATGGTGGCTTATGGCTATAATAGACCAGTAAAAGTGTTCCCTAGAGTTCTGTGAGCCACCCTAGATAATTTATGGAACCAAGGAAGAGAGCCCAGGAACCCAATTTACAGAATTAAATAGAAGAGGCTGTACCTGCTGGCACAGTTCCAGAGCACCCCTTCACCTGGGGATTATTTATTAGTTGTCCCTGTGCAGTTGTGTGGCCTATGCTCTAGTTGGCTTGGGATCTCAGGTGTCTCACTGAGCTCTATCTGTCTCCTCCCCCCACCCCACCCCCTCTTTTTTTTTTTTTTTGGTGGTGCTGGGATTGAACCTAGGGACGCGCTACTCCTGAGCTACACTCCCAGCGCTTTTGATTTTGTATTTTGTGACAGGATCTTGCAAAGTTTCCCAGGCAGGCCTCCAACTTGTGATCCTCCTGCCTTGGCCTCCCAAGGAGCTGGGGTTTCAGGCATGTGCCACTGTGCCTAGCTCCCCCCCTCCCCACACATATTCACATACTCACATGCAGCAGTGCGTGCACACACATGCACACACATGCACACACACACACACACACACACACACAAATGCAAAGTTATTTCCAAGCTTTCTAGAACTCTGGGGAGAGGTTCCAAGCTGATGTCTTGGGAGCATTGTAATCATTAAGGCCCAGAGATCCCTCCTGAGTGTGCAGGACATCGACCAGGAGTACAAAGTTCAGGGGAAGGCCATGCAGTGCTGACGTGGCCCTGGGCACAGTCCTGTGGCAGGGAGCAGAGGCCCATCTCTCCTAGGGTCACTGTGGACTCATAGGCCCCTGCCCTTCCCGGAGGCCTAGGCCTTCTGTTGTGATGTGAGAGGCCCTCAGTGCATGCTCCCTACTCTCCTACGCTCCATCCATGCTGAATGCTCCACCTCTGGTCGCCAAGTTGTGCTGGGGAGCCCTCCCCCACCAGCCGCCAGTGCTGCAGCAGACTGGCCAGCAGACACCAGCTGCTGTCCTCCAGCCCAATTCAGTTCTGACACTGTGCGCGTGGACCGGGCGTCAGAGCCTATGGATGGGGGGTTAGTCCCAGCAGACTGCTCTCTAGGCTCAGGCCTGTTACAGGCTCAGGCTGCAACCTGTATTTCTGGCCAGATGGCTGTAAATTGGGTTCCTGGGCTCTCTTCCTTGATTCCGTTAATTAGCTAGGGTGGCTCACAGAACTCTGGGAAACACTTTTACTGGCCTATTATAAAGAGTATTATGAAGCCGGGTGATGAGAGTGGTTCAGAAAAGGCATGTGGGAAGGGGTGCAGAGCTTCGGTGCCCTCTGTGGGCACACCATCCTCCAGGTGCCTCCACGTGCTCAGCTACCAGGAAGCTCCTGAGCCCCGTCCTTATGGGTTTTATTGCATAACATGTCAGTTTACCTTTGGCGTTTGTTGTTACTTCGTTTTTCGGTTCCCTTTTTTTTTTTGGGGGTGGGGGTTTGGGGCTGGAATTCCCCTCCTCATAATCCAGCCTTGGTCTTTCAGGAGGCCAGCCCCATCCTGAAGCTACCTTGGCCCCTCAGTCACCAGCCAGCTCACTGCATGCAAAACACATTCTTATAACACTGGAGATGTTGAGTTAGGAGTTTTTGGCTTGGAAACAGGGGCTAAGGTCAAATATGTATTTCACAATATCACAGCTCCACAGTGGTCCTTGGGGGTATTCTTTCTTCTCGATGTCCACTGCCCTGTTTGAATGTCTCGTCTCCATCCTGGTTAGCACCCTCTTGGCTCCCCTGCCCCCTGAACACCTTCCATTCCACCTTCCACTCTCACCAGTGAGCTTTAGTTACAGTTTCCATCAGGTCACTGTCTTGTTCAGAAACCTTCAGACTCTGTCTCCTTGTGCACCAAGCTTAAGATCTGAAACCTGCCTTCCAGGCCCCCAGTCTGGTCCCAGGACCCCCACGTGCATTCTCTAGTTGGTCAAGCCACTACCCCATTAACTTCTGCATGCATACTTAAGGAATTATGTTCAAGCTTTAGGTGGCAAGAATAGCACATTGTGCTGCTTTGCAGACCTAAGAGGTTTCTCATTAAATGCCTGAGATGCTTCTCGCTGCAAGAGAACGGACCAACTCAAAATGACCTTGATCATCTGTTATAACCAGAAGGCTGGGGTAGGGTGGGTCTTCATTGGTTGATTCAGTGGCCTAGCATGAACCCACAATCATTTTACCCTTCTATTCTGTAATCTACAACCCAGCTTTTGTCTGCAGGGTTGTCAACTTGGGGTCACAAAGTGGCTGCTACGGCCCCAAATAACCTGTCCTCACACAAGATCAGCTAAAGGCTGGAGAGGAGATAACTTTTTTTCATGCATCCCTTTGTACAAATAAGGAAGAGTTTCCCAGAATGCTCTAATCTATTTTTCACACTTCATTGTCCAGAATAGCATTATGGGTCCACTCTAAGGCAGTCACTGGCAAGAGGAATAGAATTGATGTGATTTTTTTTTAAAAATTAACCAAGCTTCCCCGAAGCACAAAGCTGCCAGACAGCTAAGCACAATTGAGGGTCTCCTGACAAGGTGGCCAGTCGGGTCTGACATACTGGGGGACTGGAGGAAAGGCAGTCTCCCAACCCAGCCTTGACCTCCTTTTCCAAGTTAGTGTTGTGATGGCCACCTTCTCTGAACAGAAGAACACATAGTAGGCTTTTCCTTCCCTTCCACTCACTACTGACAGCTTGTAGGTCCCTGAATGTAACCTATTCCTTTCCTACTTTCAGGGCTTATGTAGGCTGGTCTCTCTGTTTGGAATTACTTTTCCAACCACTTTTAGCTACTAGATCTTACCTTTCTTTAAAAATACAAGTCCAGTTTCATGTGTTTCATCTCCCCTAGGAACCTTTATCGGTGGCCCTCATCTGGGTGTCCCTTCTGCTGAACTTTTGGCTCTCCACACTGAATCTGTCATGGAGAAATCCCTCGGTACTGCCAGTCTCTGTTGACTTGTCTGTCTTTCCATCTGCAGAGCTCCTGAAGGACAGGGGTCTGTCTGCTGCCTTTTGGGACCTGGGGGGTTGCCCCAGCACCTGACACAGTGTATTGAATGAATGTATGATGACCTTGTCACTCCACACCCTCTGCATGTCCTGTTTGCCTGTTGGGTGACAAACATAAAGACTGAGGAGTCCCACAGTAGAATGAGACAGACGCTATCATCCTATACTCATGCATGATTACCCTACTGGTGTGACTCTGCACTATGTACAGCCAGAGGAATGAGAAGTTGGCCTCCATTTGTGTACTGTGTGTCAAAATGCATTCTACTGTCAGGTATAACAAATTAGAACAAATTTAAAAATTAAAGAAAAGATTGAGGTCTTAATCCCTGTACTGCCTCCAGCTTCCAGATGATTCTGCTTGTCATCTTCTTGGGCCTCAGTTTCTGTATTTTGGTGCCTCTAGTTCCTAAGAATCCCTACATTCCTCTAGCATGGGTTTCAGATCCTGAAACAAGGACTTGGGCGCTGCTTGTCTGGGAGACGCTCCCAAGGAAACAGGATGGAGGGAGCAGAAGAGTGAGACAGGGAGGGAAGAAATCATGGGAGTGTCAGCAAGGCCCCTGCTCTGGGTTACTGAGGGTCGACTCTACTGGGATCTCCTGTGAAGCATCTGAGACATTCCCAGGATTGTTCCCCCAAAGGCTGAGAGATGGGGGCATTTATCTACCAGCTCCTGTGCCCCGTGAGTTGAGGCTTCTCAATAGTCCTTGCTCCTCTGTGTCTGGGGTGCAATTTGCACTGTGGCTCAGGTGAAGGTTTTGAGCAGAAAGAAGACACACATGGAGGGAGCTTGAGGTGGAGCAGCATCAGGGCGATGGAGTCGCACGTGGAGATTTCACCAGAGTAGAGGCTACACTCAGAAATGCCTGGTGGAGCACGAGAGCTCCATCCATCCTTGGAGGGAAATTAACTTGCATTGAGCAGTTGCTCAGGGACAATGGCAGCTCGTGGTTTTCAGGAGCATTGAGGGCCTGAGCCCCCCCTCCCAGCAGTTTCTTGACCACTTGAGCCTCCTCCTTCCTTCTAGCTGGCATCCAGCTTCCAGTCCACTGCGCGGTTTGGCTCGCAGGCAGAGGCGCACTTCACGGCTGCAGAGAGAATGCTGCAGTATGCAAAGGTAGGGTGCGGGTCTGGGGCTGGTGGGGAGCTCCGCAGGGTGGGCCATGGCTTCTGGGACCTCTGCAAGTTCTGCCTACTCCTGGGGCCCCTAGACTCCCCAGGACTTCTGCTCATCATCCTGAAGCTTTTCTGCACTTGCTGGCTCATTTTGACTACATCCTTCACCGCATCCCTGAATATACAGGGAATAATCTTCTCAGAAATAAGAGGTTTGCCCAAATACAATAATAGTAATCGTCATTATTATTGCTTCTATTCGTGTCATAGTAGTTAAAATCACAGTTTACCTGAGTTCAAGTTCACATTTTGCTGCTTAAACCAGCTGTGTGACCTTGTGCAACTTATGCTCTCTGTTCACGCTCTCTGATATGGGAAAGATAATAGTATCTCCTTCGTTGAGCACAGTGAAGACTCAATAATGTTATTATCAAGATTGAACCCTTTCCATGGACCAGGCACTTTGCTAAGTAAGGCCTTTATGCAAGTTGTCTCATGATATTACAAAACAGTTTATGAGGTCCATAGAATTTTTTTCCCCATTATTCAGATGAGAAGCTGAGGCTCGCCCACAGCAAGCACATTGCTTCATGAGATGACACGGCCTGGCCCTGGCAGAGCCCTCTAAAGCTGGGTCTCCTGCCCCTGTGATTACATTGTGAATCACGGGATTCTGGTTTAATGCCAAGGAGCTTTGTTGTGAGACCAACTGACAGTGGAGACCCATGGCTTTGTAGTGCTTTTCTCTAGTGCTGTCTCCTCCCAGGGCACACAGTGGATACAGTCTCCTGGGCTTAGAGGTAGGCAGGTCTGGCTTTGAGTCCCAGTTGGTTCTGCTCAGAAACTGTGCTTTTAAGTCATTTGACTTGTTGGAGGCTTTATTTCCCGTGAAATGAATCTTTAAAAGCCTGAAAAGTAGGATGAAGATGGAGAAAGTCGGAGCAAGATTTCTGAGTTGTAAAACATAAGGGTCAGTAATTCTGCTGCCCGTGTCATTATTATCCTGGATCCTAGTCCTTCAGTGCCTCATGATAAATTAGGAAAAGTGCCCTGTGTCAACAGCGAGGGGGCCAGCTAGCTAGATTTCTTATCCTTCTGGGACAAACTGGGCTCATTCCAGGTAGGGACGGAGTGAAAGGATGTCCCCCCTGGGGTAACAGTAGTGGCTTGACCATGGGGTGGGACAGGCCAGGGTGGGTCACAGGAGCTGGAGGCCAGGGTGTGCAGAGGTGGACAGAGGTTGATCATGACCACTGATTTCTTTTTCTTTCTTTTACAACAAGAGGTGTGTCTCAGAGGCGCCTTTACACATGGAAGGCACGTGTTGTCCCCCTGGGTGGCCACAGCACGGGGAGATCACATTCCAGGACTATCAGATGAAATACAGAGACCACACGCCTGTCGTCCTCGATGGCATCAACCTGACCATTGGTGGCCAGGAAGTGGTGGGCATCGTGGGAAGGACGGGCTCCCGTGAGCTGAGTGTCCCTGGGGAGCATCCGTATCCTCTCCTCTGGCCTTGGGTACCAGACCACTTTAGCACGTGTGCTAGGCCCTGTGCTAAGGAGACACTGGTGAGCAACCAAAGCTGTGGGACTCCAGTGGAGGAGACGTATGTTCAGCAAACCATCACATAAAGAAACAAAGGGGATGATTACAGGTTGCAGTGGACACCTGTTTTAGGAGTCATGAGACAGGGCAGGGCTTCAGTCGGAGTGAGGAGCAGGGCAGAGTAGCACCGGGGTCCTCCTGTCCTTCCTTCCCTCTCTCCTTCCCTTCCTGGACCTCTCATCTGCCTCCTCCTCTTCCTCCTTCTCCTCCTTCTCCTCCTTTCCTTCCTCCTTCCTGATTTCTCTCCTTTCTTCTCCTGTTACTTTTGGGATATGGTCCACACGTTTCTCTGCTTTGTTCAAAGGCACTCTTCAGACTTGCTTCTTGGACTCCATCTTCACTCCTTGGACAGTCCAGGGTGACTGGAGCCTTCATGGGTCTCTACCTCCTCAGTTGTACCTTTCAACCCTGCAAGTTGGAAGGGCTCCCAGCACTGTTCCTTTAAGTGTTGTTCCTTTGCTCTTCTTATCTGCCAGTTGGCCTGGGGGCGGGGCTGGGAAGTGGCATAGAGGAGCTCTCAGCAGACACTGGTCCGGTTCACTATATTCATATAGTAGATATTTGTTGAGTACCTACTATACGCCTGGGAACTGCATTAGTCAGTTCTTTGTTGCTGTGACAAAGTGCCTGAGAAAATAAATTTAAAGGAGGAAAATTTTATTTTGGCGTACAGTTTCACGGTCCCTTGGCTTTGTTGCTTTGGGCCTTTGGTGAGGCTGAACATCATGGTGAGAAGCATGTGGTAGAGCAGGAGAGGTATCCAGGAGAGGAGGGGGGAGCACACACATACAAGAGGCCGGGGACCCATTGCCAGGGACCACTTCCCCAAGCTGACCCCACGGCGTTGTAGCCCATTTAGCTATGAGCTCATGAATGGATGAGTCCATTGATGATGTCAGAGCCATCATGATCCAATCAGTCTCCCAAAGTTCTGTTTGTGAACCCTGCTGTACTGGGGACCAGGCATTCAACACATGAGCCTTTGGGGGACATTGCAGCTCCAAGCAGAATTTAAGGGGAAACAAGACACATGGCTTCTGTCCTCATCGATCTTTGAGCACAAGGTTGAAAACTCAAATGCCTTTAACACAGATGCGTGGAAAGGGTCTGGGGTGTGATGTGGGGTGGGGAGGGTGGAGTGAAGGACCTGAGTGGCCTGTTCCATCTGAAAGATGCAGCCACGCTCATCCCTGGCTGAGTTGCCCGGGGCGGGGACATGAGCCCAGGGGTCCCATTTCTACAGTTTCAAGAGAATCGTGCGATTTGAATTTCTGTATGTAGGATTTGGGGATTTTTAAAATGCCAGCAAAAAATTTTTAAAAAAAATCACTGTGGTACTGTGTGTGGGATACAGAGCCTATGTGTTGTCTGGGGGCTCCGTTGATCTAGGCTTTAAGAGAGTTGCTTGGGACTGGAAGCTTTTGGAGCCGAGACCCCAGCCCTCTTGCCCTCTCCTGGGCCAGGAGTGGGTCAGGTGCCTCCCTGGTGCCCCGCAAGGCTGGTCTCCCACACCCCTTGTTTCTCGCCCTCCAGGAAAGTCCTCCTTGGGTGCGGCTCTCTTCCGTCTCGTGGAGCCCACGGCAGGCAGGATTCTCATCGACGGCGTGGACATCTGCAGCATCAGCCTGGAGAAACTGCGGTCCAAGCTGTCAGTTATCCCCCAAGACCCGGTCCTGTTCTCGGGAACCATCAGGCAGGTGCTAGGCTGGAGGCCAGCCTGGTGTGGAGGTCAGCCTCGTGGGGAGAGTCCCAGGATGGGGATTCCGGCACTCATTGCCTGCCTCATGTTAGCACCGCCTCAATTTCTGGGCCTCTGATCTCTCCTCCAGTCAGGCTGGCCTGGTCCACCTCACGAAGGTGTGGTTTGGGGTTGAATGAGGTCCTCAGACAGGAGCCTGTTGTAAACCATAATGTCCTAAATGAAGACAAGGCATGCTTCCATTTTGTAATAGCCTGATAGGATTGGTCAGCCTCTGGTCCCCGTGAAGGATCTGCACCCTGGCTACCATGTTCTTTTGCGTCCAGACGTGACTTACCCTCTTCCCTCACCACTGGCCCACTGGGTGCAGCCCTTGGGGTGGTTGTTAGCAAGTGCTTCTTCTCAGGGGGCATGTTCTGGGCAGTGAGGGAGTGAGAAAGGACCCAGGCAGGCCAGCGAGTGGGGCACACGGAGCCCAATCTCCCAGCAAGCTGTTTCACGCCCTCCACTTTCTGGAAGTCAACCCTGGCACACGTGTCATCCAAATTAGTGTTTTTACCATTTCTAGTTATGTATCTGAAAGAGGTGAGGACAGAGACTTGTAAAGATATTTGTATCCTCGTGTTTAGAATAGCATTGTTCACAAAAGCCAAAAGATGGAAATAACTCAAGTGTTCACCAACAGATGAATGAATAAACAAAATGTGGCGTATGAATATATACAGCCGAATAAGTACTCAGCCTTGAAAAAGAGTGAAATTTTGGTACATGTCACAACGCGAATGGACCTAGAAATCACTATGATAAGTGAAATAAGCCAGATACAGAAAGACCAGTACTACATGATTTCCCTTATATGAGGTAGCTGGAAGAAGCAGATTCGTAGAGCTAGAAAGTAGAATAGAGGTTACTAGGAGGTGTGGCAGGGGTGAAGGGAAAGGGGGAATTGTTTAATGTGTACTGAGTTTTTGTTGTAGATGATGAAAAAAGTCCTGGGTATAGACAGTACTATACGACTTTGTTAATGTGTTTACTGCCACCGAATTGTACACTTACAGGTGGTTAAAAAGACAAATATTACGTTATATATATTTATCACAAAAAACAAAAATAATTAAACCCAGTGGCTTAAGCAAAAAAAAAAAAAAAAAAAAGGGGTTTTTTGCTTCATAATATTGAGAAGCCCAAGGCTGGATTCGGGACCCAGTTTTCCCCTGTCTCTGCCTTTGCTTCATTTTCAAGGTCCACCTGAGGGTCCTAGGGGGTTCCATGTGTCCTCTTTCCAAGGCAGGATGGTTACAGCCTTTCTTGTTCAGCCTGGTTAGAAAGATTGGCTTCCGGGGATTGCCTTAAAGTCCTGAAGTGTGCTCTGATTGGTTACCTTCCAAGCCAGGCCAAATCAGTGTCCAGGGATTGCCCTGGGCTGATTGGCTGATGCTTGGGTTGCTTGCTCCACCCTGGGGCAGGTCGGAGACCCCCACTTGAAACACATGGGCTCCACGGCTGGAGAGGAGGGGGTGTCCTAACACAGCCTGGGGGTCGCCGTCTACAGAAGGAGTGGGTGCTGGAGAGATATAAGGAAGGATCACTCAAGGCCGTTCCACGAGTTCTCTGAACCCAATAATCCAATTCCAACCATTCTTGGTCATTTACTATGTCTGTAAAATAAAAGTGCTCAAAGGTTGGTGAGGTCACTGAACCTTGTTCTTCCTCTCATATGACAGATTCAACCTAGATCCCTTTGACCGTCACACAGACGAGCAGATCTGGGATGTCTTGGAGAAGATATTCCTGACCAAGACTGTAAGTAGTCCAAGCCCAAGTCTTGGTCTCAGTTCTTTGAGGGGGTCCCCTCACAAGGAATCCTGGAGGCTGTTGCCTTGGGTCATAGTTTAAATAATGTGTTCGGTTCTAGGTTCACCAGCACACACAAGGCTGATAAGGTCTTTGCCCTCCTGGTGTTTCTACCCTACAGGTGATAAAGACAAAGAATAAACAGAGATACTTTCAGATAGTAGCACGCGCCATGAAGTGAATAGGATGCAATGGAAACTCCAGTGGGAGAGCAGCCCCCTTTGATAGGATGGGACTTTTTTTTTTTTTTTATAGGATGGGACATTTGAGTGGAGACCAAATACTGAGGGGGCAGCCAGGGAAAGGTCTTTGAGAGCCCAGGAACTTGCCCAGGCAGAAGCCCTGAGATGAGAGTGAGTAGGTGCTCCTGAGGACCAAGAGGACCGGGGGCTGGAGTGCAGAGCGGAGCAGTGTTACAGAGGGATGGAGAGTGTGGTGTGGCCCCCGAGTCTCACCCACAGTGACCCACATGTGGTCTCTCCTGCCTCCATGTCTCAGATCTCAAAGTTCCCCCAAGGGCTGCACGCAGAAGTGGTGGAAAATGGTGGAAACTTCTCCGTGGGGGAGAGGCAGCTGCTCTGCATTGCTCGAGCCCTTCTTCAAGACGCCAAGGTGAGACTGCCATTACCAAGTGGCCGTGAGGAGCCGCAGGTGACGTGGGGTGGGCACCTGCACTCTTCCCTCCTCCATTATCACAGGACAGCGGTCACCCGGCAAGGCATGGTTGTGGGGAGAGTCTCAGTGTGGGCTCCCCCTCACTCTGATGTCCCACAGCTAAGCTACAATGGCGGTGACTGGAACCAAGTTAGAATGCTGTATTCTCTGAAGAAGGCAAAAAGTTAGAAACCTATTGATTTAAAAATTGCCTCCTGAACATTCTCCTTGAAACGTGTATGCAAGACATTCTTTTTGCCTTTACCAGAATCAGGAGTCAGAGGGACAATTGCTCTGGGGTAAAACGGCATTTAAAAAATTATTTTATGGTGCTGGGGAGAGAAGCCAGGGCCTCGTGCATGCAAAGCACAGGCTTTACCACTGAGCTACATCCCCAACCCTTTTAAAAAAGTTTGACGTAACAGTGTGTCTCAAAGTTGCCAAGATATTTTTCCATAATTTTATTACCAGGGGTATCCAGGAACAAACTCTCTCACAAGTGAAGCAACACACACACACACACACACACACACACACACACACACACACACACACACACACACACACTTTTATGTGCATACATACACTGCCTCCATACTCACACATATATGTACATGTGTACACAGAGGTATGCACAAGTGTATGCACACACAGTCACCATGGTTAGTTAATGATAAATGCAAAAATGTTGGTGCAAACCATCAGAACCAGCAGAAAAAATCTCAGTGGGGCTTGCAGTGGGGGAGAAAGTTGCAGAAGGGGTAAGATTTTTCTCTTCCTGTTGTGTTGTGCGGCCCACGAGTCTCACCCACAATGACCCACATGTGGTCTCTCCTGCCTCCATGTCTCAGATCTCAAAGTTCCCCCAAGGGCTGCATGTAGAAGTGGTGGAAAATGGTGGAAACTTCTCCGTGGAGGAGAGGCAGCTACAGAATTTGCAATATGTTTGTAGCGCTTTCTTAACTTCTCAGTTCCTTCTTTCACAGTTACTTAGTCACTTGGTGCTGAAGTTGCTTCCTCTGGGTTGCTTCCCAAATTTGAGTCATGTCTTTCTGATTTTTGTCATATCTGCAACCCACCTGTCTTATAATTTGCTGATGATACGCTCTTTTCAAAAATGGCCTTCTCCTGTCCAGTAGCATTTGTGAAAACATTGTTTTCTGTGCTAGTTTTCTAATGCATATTGTTAATGAATCATCACCAAAATGTTAGACTAAGAAGAATGCTTACTCATTTACTGGCTATGACCATCTCATATACTCCATGGGGTGTGTTTTTGACCCCCTTTGGGGAACATAGATCTACTTTAATTCAAACAAATGGGAAGGCAATTGATAAAGCAAGCAGTTGACTCTGGGGCTTGGGGTGTAGTTCAGTGGTAGAGAACATGCTTCGCATGCAGAAGCAACACACGCACGCACGCACGCACTTGGCCACTGGCCCATTTCATTTCCGGGAACTTAATTCTCTGGTCACTAAGATGTAGTTAGCTCTTGGATGAGAGGCTATCATTCTCTCCATAGTGCAAGAGATAATTAGAGCTTAAAGTGGGTTTTCAACTCAGTTTCCTCATCTGGCAGCTAAGGAAATGGAGGCCTGGTGAATTAGGGTTAGAACTAGGACTAGGCCCAGGCCTCTGGGGCCCCAGGAGGCTGCCTTCACCCCTTATTTTGTATCCACCAGATCGTCTTTATTGATGAAGCCACAGCCTCCATTGATCCGGAGACCGACACCCTCATCCAGCGCACAATCCATGAAGCCTTTTGGGGCTGCACAGTGCTGGTCATTGCTCACCGTGTCTCCACTGTGCTAAACTGTGACCAAATTCTGGTCATGGGCAATGGGAAGGTGAGAGCCGAATCCCTGGGCTGGTGGGAGGCTGGATGTGCCTGCTCAGGCCGCGGCCTAGACGGCCTGTGAATTCTCCTTCCCTGAGCTTAGCTGTGGCCCTGTCTCTTCCACACCTGTCTCCATCCCCCCAGGTTGTGGAGTTTGACAGGCCTGAGGTCCTGCAGAAGCAGCCTGGGTCATTGTTTGCAGCCTTGTTGACAACAGCCCATTCTTCACCGAGCTGAGGAGGAGTGGAGACGGCATGGAGTCTGGTGGCTGAGCTCAGGGGACTGCGTGGGGGCAGCTGTGAGGCCTGCAGTCTATGACCTTCTTGTCTAGAGCTGGCCACTTCTCCTGGAAGCAGTGCTGACATGTGGGGAGGGTTCTGGGAAGGAAAAGGAGACAGAGGCCACAAAATCTGGAATAGGTCACTCTGTGACTCCCCAAACCTTAGATCCCCAGCCTGGTGTCATGCCATGGGGTCAAGTGATCAAGTGTCTCTTTTAAGCTCATGCCAAATAATTTTAGGATAGTGTCACAGCTTATTACTATAGTTTTCTGATCTGTGTTGGAAGTGTTGCAAATTGATGTATCAATTTTGCTAAAAATTAAACTGAGAAAATAAGTCACGTTCTTGGTTCTGCTTTCTCTGTGAGCTAGGACCTGTTCAGTTCCAGGAAGAAAACTTCCCTGACACTGAGTTCTGGAAAAGGAGGCTCAAGGAACAGGAAGGTCCAGAAGAAGTTCTGGGTTGGGTGCAGGTATTGAAAGCACGTCTGTCTTGAGGACTCTTGTCTCTCTTCTGTGGTCCCTCCTTTCCTTTGTTTGGCTTCAGTCTCTGGCCACTTTTCACTTCCTGGTGGCAACATGGCTGCCAGCTACCAGCTCAGCACCCCAGGTCTGCTGAATCTCATTGGGTCAGCTTGGGTCCTCACAGGTGAACCCACCATGTGCTTGGCTTTTGGAATACAGTGACTTTTCCAGGCCCAGTCACCTACCCAAACCAGGGCCTGGAGATGGTGTCAGCTTCCCTGAATTATCTGGACTCAGTACAAGATTTTTTTTTTCCCCTCCAAAATAAAATTAGGATGCTATGACTACGTGAAGGAAGAATGGATGTGGATGCTGAGTAGATCCCAAATAGTACCTGTCTACTATGCTTGTTTACCGATTAGGAATATAAATGGGTGGCATAAAAAGTTAACTTATATACCAACTAGAAGGAAGATCACTCCTTCTTCCTCCGATATGTTTGCAGAAAGTAGAAAAGGAAGCTATTAATAATTTACTTCTAGGGAGACCTCATTTCGGGGG